CAGAAAATATATAAAACCATTAGACTGGATGATTTCACCTAGGGAGTAATGTAGATAAAGAAGAGAACCAGGCTCTCTGAGGAACACCAACATATAGTGGTAGCTAGGATGACGGAGCATCTGAAAACAAACAAACAAAAAACAACCAAAGCAGGAGAAGGAGATCCAGAGAGGGTGGCCCAGTAGGAAGAGAAGGGGATCCATCACTCAGGAGGGCTCCCCGGCTATGCCAGTGTGGTGATGGGTGAGATCTAGACTCAACCATGGAAGGAGGATTGTTATCTTTACAACAGAGAAGCAGAGAAGAATAAGTGGGAGAATTGAGTAGAGGAAATTTTTTGAAGATCCTTTTCTTTTTTTTTTTTTTGTCAATAGGAGAGAAAAAAAACAAATTGTTAACCTAATGGGAAGGTGGACAAGGGAATAGTCCAATAATAAGGAAAAAATCTGATGATCTAGACAGCTAGATAAAAAGACTGTGTCAGCTGACAATACAATAGTTCGTGAATAATACAAAGTAAATATTGAAACAATAATCCTTTGAATCTCATCCTTCCACTTGACTTTTATCACTGAAACAAAATTGACTTCAAATACATTTGAGGATTGATTCCCTCCAGCAATACCCATAATTGTAAAGTGTGTTCTTGCCCATGCAACACTTAAACAGCATCATCTTGCCCTTCTCTCTCCTCCTCTTCTTCTTCCTCTCTCTCCTCCTAACACAGGTCAGAACTGAATACTCCACCTGAGCTCATTTGGAAGGTCACTGGTCGCCAACATTCCCCTCATCCCACCTGTGTGCATCTGGAGTAGCTGCCTCCTTTGCTGGGGCAATGGCTTCTCCTCTGGACCTCCACTTCCAGGTCCTTATACTCAAAAAAGCAAAGAAAACTTTTTTTATGACTACTCCTTAACAGAGAGAAACCTCATAATTATCACCCAGAATCAAAAGCTTGGGAGGCTGTTAAATTGTTGCATAGTTTTATTGAATCTAGTATGAAGGATGAATTATTTAAAGCCAAGTAAATTGCTATGAAAATTTAAAAGTTCATGCTATTATTATTTCTGAAACTCTGGCAGTAGGACATCTCAGCATATTAATTGGGATGGCTCCATCAAATAAACTCATCATGCAAAGAAGGCAATAAACCTTAGGATATTTGGGAAATTAAAATCTAATGAGAAAGCATCTTCAATTTAATTTGTTCAACTGAAGCTTACCTTGTTCAAGGCACCATGAGGGGTTGCATGAAATATGCAATTAAATGAGAAATGGTTCCCATCACTAAATAAGGAAAAACCAAAAATAAGAATCAAGTATATTACTATTTACAGCGACCCCCGGCCCCACACACATATGCATATACACACACACCCAAAATTAATTATTCTCCAAATACATCAAATATTTTCACATGTAGTGCTTCTGCACAGCCATTCCAACTCTCAAAGCACCTCTCCTCCGATTTCCTGCCTTTGAAATGCCATTCATTCTTCAAGATTCAGCTTCCCACAAACTTGTGGATCTCTCTAAGGAGCATTAATCACCCTCCTTCTCTTTGCAATTGGACCACTTTACTGCAAATATGTACATATGTGCTCACCTCATCAGACTGAACACTTAGAAGACAGGCATCATATCTTATTATTCTTTCAATCCTCTCAATGTCTAGGCAAGTGCCTTACCCATAAGAGAATATAACATAGTTTTATGGAACTAAACTGTTTCATTGATCATCAGCCTAAGAAATTTTAACCAAGGACAAAACCTACATAATTTCTGGAGTCCCAATAACACTGGCTAGAATTCACTGGACTTAATCTGTGCCAGGACCTATGATAAGAGCTACATATACAGTACATCTAATCATTACTTTAATCTTTACAAAACTCCTTTGAGATATATTTTATTAAACCTCTTTTAGAGGTAAGAAAACTGCAATTCACAGATGTCACTTACCATGATCAAAATCCCACATTAGAAAGGGGCAAGTCTGAACCGAGTCAAGGTCCCAATCAAACCAGATTTGACTCTCGTTTTATCCAACCAAAGTCTGCTTTTATCCACTATGCAAGTTGCCCTAGCACCACCCCACAGCCATCTGCTTCCTGCCATTGCAAGAGAAAGGAAGAGCTTGTTATTTATTGAACGCTTACTCTGCACCAAGCATTGTGCAATTGCTCCTAACCAGACGTTATGATGAACCTTTCAGACAGTAAGGCCTGCTTGAGCCAGAGCCCTCAATGCTCACTGACTCCCCTTTGCAGGTTATTTTCACTGGTCCTAATGCCAGCTTTTCAGCAGTTTCCCAACCCTTACCTCAGTTGCCTCTATCCCTCTTCTTTCCACCTTCCTTCCCACAGCCCAAGGCTCCTCTTCTCCAAATGCAGGGAGGCCTGTCTCCTGGGGATATCCCAGGGTGAACCTCTGGGGGATCCAACCCAGAGGAAGTTATCTCTCCTGAGCACACACCTCTCCCTCCTCCCTGCCCAAGTCGAAAAGAAACTGAAACATTCCCCCCTCCTCTCTTTCCCCAGATTGTCCACGTCTATTTACCCTGTTCCTCCTACCCATAGATTTACTTTATGCTGAGTTTTTAAAAATTTTACTCTTACAAGATTTGTTAGAGCGAGTTGGCAGATGCTGCGCCTTGCATAGTACATTTTTCTTTACTGGGTGCAGGTGGAGAAATCGGAGTGGGAGGTGAGTCAGAGAGGAATCGGTTGCCCTCAACCAACACAAGGAATGTGATACCTGCACACAGGGACCCAAAAAGAAAAACAAGAAGGAAAACAAAAGGGGCCAAATCCGAAGCCCCAAGGCAAGAAAAGGTGGAAGGGAGGGGGGGGTGGGGTTAGAGTTTGATCAGATGACAAGGGAGGAAGATTTCAGACTGGGTGAAGAGGGGATATGCCTAGAGGGTAGAATGAGCCTCAAGTAATTAGAGAGTACAGGGAAGGGAAAAAGGGTGAGTCACTATTTGCTGGTTGTGAAGGCTGATGATAGAGGGAACAGCATGATATGAGCAAAGGCTAAGAGAAAAGTGAGCAGATTGATATCAAAGAGTAAATTGTCCAATCAAGGAATTTAAAACATGTTTTTACCCAAAATGAGCCCCAGTATCACAAGAGGGAGTTTAAGTGTCCTCTTTGCTCTTTGAACACTTTATGTAGCTTGCAGTCATTTAATTGGCCAAATTACTGAATTATACATTGACAGAGAATCACACTTATGTTAATGAATATCTATTTTTAAAAAGTCTTTCTTAAACCGAAAAGTAACTGAGGTATTTAAATATTAAGGTTTAGTCCCATCGAAAGGCAAAACAGTTCCAAGCGATCACAGTTAACAACCTTAACAAATGAACTGCACACTGAGCTTCCAAGCGAAGCACACTTTAAGAAATTACATTGCTTATCGCTTATATGAAAGGTGACCTTCTTTAATAGTATTCTTAATCATTCATGATTTTTTTCTGCTTTAGAGACATGTAGTTCAAGCTTTCAAAAAAAATTAATGATTTTTAGTAGTTGAATTTCTCCTTTCACTTCAATGAGATTCATTGGAAGCAACATTATAGAATGTTGTCAAATGCCTATTAAGTGAGGGATGTTTCCATCTCTCACAACTCTTCCAGCAGCACCTGCCTGCGTGTTCAGGGCTTAGCAGGATTTTTCACAATTCTTCCCTCTCACTGCTCAGAATATCATTCTTCTCCTCTTGGTCTGCCTATGGTTCCCTATATTTCGGTTCATTTCTTCTGTGCTGACTCAGAAGTAAAATGCAACCCTTTGTTTGTTCCACTGCTTCCTATCATTCCTTCCTGTGTGTTGTGGTGTCTCTGCTGCTTTGCTGGAAGTTCTATGGGTGAAGTTCCTCTCTCTGAAGCACTGTAAATCCTTCTATGAGAGCACTTAGCTTAATTATCTCCAATTAATTTGTGTCTTTTATCCATTTAAGTCTCCTAAGAGCAGAAACTGGATCTTTTATCTTTGTACCCTCTGTCACTAGAACAGTGTCTGTCTCACAGAAGGTACTCAGTAAACACGTGCCAAGTAAACGCATGAATCCTGAGTGAAAGGACTTAGATTGTGTTGTCTCCCTGCCATTTGTTATCTTGTGAAATGGACAATACATTTCACCTTCTTCAACTGTGTCCTCATACACTGAATATAATGATACCTTCCTCTTCAAATGATTAATTTAAAAGAAGCTGTGTAAAAATGCTTTATATATTAAAAAGTATACATGCATGAATATTTTATTGGATGAACTCTAAGGTTTGCTGCTGAAAATGATATGGGGGACAGTTCCAGCTAGGGGTTCTCAATCTAGGGTGATTTATCCCCTCAGGAGCTATTTTGTAACATCTGGAGGCATGTTTGGTTGTCTCATCTGTGGGGGTAAGGCACGGGCTACTGGCATGTGGCAGGTGGGGCCAGTGATGCTGCTACACAGCATGCCATGCACAGAACACTGTGCAACAAACAAGCATCCAGCTCAATGTCAATAGTGCTGAGGCTGAGAAACTCTCATTCAAACTTAAAAACACATGATAGACAAAACACTTTCCCTAACGTATTTGCCACTAGACAATTGTATTGAGTTTTAGCTTCTTTATACATAAATAGGAGTCATCATATTAATTTACTTATACTATTAGAATAACTCCCTACCTTTCATAATATAGATGTGTTTTCTTACTCCCCATGTTGCCCTTTGGAAATGATAATCTACATATGGCAGATACTTCTGGTTTCCTCTTCTTCCAGGCACATGGTAAACTTCCCCATCCCCTGTATATGTAGCTAGGTCTTCGTGCCTAGTTCTAACCAGTGCCTGTGAACAGAATTGACATGCCTTACTTCTGGGCTAAAGCATTTAATGGCTGGTGCAGCCTGTCCTGCCCTCTCTTTCCCGGGCTCAGTAACTACAGAAGCAGCAGCTGAGATGGTGACACCACAAGACGGAAGCAGCCTCTGAATTCCAGAGTGCCACATAGTAGACAGCTGCCTAGAGATATGCTCAAATCCACACTGGATTTTACATGACCAAAAAATAAACCTTTTCCAGTTTAAGCCACTGCAACTTGAGGGCTGTTTCTTAATGACCCACCTGATCATTGCTCTACCTCAAAGGGAGTACAATTTTGATTGTATGGAACACTTTGTACTCAAGTGGAACAATTTCTAGGATAGAGCATATACTTAAAAATATCTTAATACCTAATTGGTGGAAGAAAGGAAAAGGAAATTACTGGTCTAGTTTTTGCTTTTTAGAGTATCTCTGTCCATTTATGACTGGTATGCTGGGTCTGGCCTCATGGTTTTGTTTTCAAAGGATCAGAGTCTAGAAAATTTTGACTAAGGCATTTTGTGATATATAATCCTTCAACCACTAACACACATTTAAATAATGTGCAGCAAATCTTGAAATTCCCTTGATCTTCTCTCTGACCCCAAAATGCCATAGCTACAGACACTGGACACTGCACTGAGGACACTTTATGCCCTTTTGTTACAAGGAAACTCATAGGTCAATTCGTTAGATGTTCTAGGTCATTTGTTGTCACTGTTTAGCAGGGTTGGCTTTGCAAAGCTTGCCCTCTTGAGGCCAAACAGCTCTAATTCACAAGTTGTTATACCTGGATAATACAGAAAAATTAGTCTACGTACCCCTTTTAATCCATCGACTGATGCGGGCTGGATGGAATCAGCAGCACTGCGGAGTGGTGAAGGGCAGGGACTCTGGAACCAGATGTCTGAATTCCTGTCGGGGACTTACTACCTCCCATCTTTGGGCCTCCTTTCCCTTATCCAGAAAATACAGATAATATTATAAAAATGCCCATATTACAGGGCTGTTCAGGTAAATGTGTTAATACATGTATAGGGTTTAAAACAATATTTGCCGCACAGCAAGTGCTCAAATAAGGTGAACTAATATTATTTACAGTGACCGTGAACTATTATCTGCACATAATTTCCTTATAGTGCTATAGACATTAAGTAGACAAGCAACTCCTATTATTATTATTATTATCATTTTCTTTTTCTTTCTTTCTTTTTTTTTTTTTTGATGGGATCTCGCTCTGTTGCCTGGGCTACAGTGCAGTGGTATCATCATAGTTCACTGCAACCTCAAATACCTGGGCTTAAGCGATCCTCCTGCCTCAGTCTCACGAGTAGCTGGGACCACAGGCACCTACCATCATACCCACTAATTTTTATATTTTTGTAGAGACAAGGTCTCACTGTGTTGCTCAGGCTGGTCCTGAACTCCTGGTCTCAAGTGATCCTCCCACCTTGGTCTCCCAAAGTGCTGGGATTAACAGCATGAGCCACCACACCCGACTGTAGCTGCTATTCTAAAAGGGGCTACATGCTTTACCAACTAACAGTTCAAACAAATTTGAAATATAAAATTAAAAGTCCAAGAAGATTGCTATAATCTATGTTGAAACCTTCCAAGACATACAGTTCTATACAAAAGTATCCATAAAACCATGAAGACATTCCCATGAAGACATGAGACTCTAAGATGTCTAAATATTCATATCTTCTCAAATTATGTTCTTGAATGATTCAGACAGAAAAAAGATATTCTTTCTCCCATATTTTCTATTTCCTTTAAACATTTTCAGGTAATTGAATAAACATTCTAAGGACTAGAAAATCATATTGCAGATTTTTTAAAAAGCAGATAAATTGATTCAAAAATGGCCTTTAGTGAATCCAGAGGGTATATTCAATGTGATGGAAGAATAAATTGTAAAATTGAATATTGTACATTGTCTGGAATATTTTGTCAACTAGTTCTGGGAAGAAATAATTTTGGAAAATGCCTCCTGCCTCCACAAATTGTGGGGACTCCACAAAGAGCATGCAATATAAAATGCAATCTCCTAGACTGAGAAGAGATTATAAATTGTATTTGGCTCTCTGGTATTGTAAATATTAGATTATCTTGCACAATGCAGAAACAGGCAATAAACCGAATTGTCAAACTAGCTAGAATTTCACTTATATTTTGCCAAGCTGTTCTACATTAATTGTTGCAAATTATATGTGATAAACATGGAATTAAAACAGTTAAATAAGGATGCATGACCTATGGAAAAACACTGAAATATTTAATTGCCCAATACATTTAAAATACAGAATACATATATAATTACTTTAAAAAAGGTTACTAATAGGGCATTTTTCTGCTTTTTTTCTTAATCATATTACATTACTATAGACCCTTAGGAAAAATGAGAGGTTGATAATTTAAACACAAAGTTTTGAGAAAACGTACATATACTGCAACAAACTTGGCAGGGAGCACAGCACTAGGTATTCAATAGCTTCTTAAAGTAAGATTTATTTTTAGCATATTTTATACATTTGTAAAAGGTACTGCATATTTATGAATATTCTCTATATATCACTTTGTACAGAAAGAAGGGCATGTATTTTAACTCCCGTTAAAGCTGAGAAAATGGAGATTAGAGAAGTTGTGACCTGAAATCACATGTGAAGTAGCAGAGACAGAAATTGACCTCAGATCACTTCCTCTAAATCCTGGCCCATTTTTTCTACTCAAAGATCACAAAGTTGATCAACACATAAAGACAAGTGGTAAACCCAGGTCTTGGAATAGAGTCTAATGCTCATTCAATATTCACTCAGCAAAAATTTAATGAGTACCTACAACAAACATACTGGGTGTCTATGTTACGGTGAAAAAGACTGAGTCCCTGCCTAGAGTGGGACATAGAGTACTAAATGTTCATGATAATACAGTGCCACCATGACTAGCACAACACACAGTGCTAATGGAGAGGAAAAGATGGGTATCCAGCCTAAACTTACAGGAGTAGAAAGAGAAGGTGGTATTTAATATTTAAACCAAGAGCTCAAGGATATTAGGAGACCTATGAAGGAAAGAGGAGGAAAAGGGGAGTTCCATGCTAATGCCCTGAAATAAAAGAGAGCATGATATCTTAGGAAAACAGGATGAATTTCAGTAATGATGGGTGGAGATAGTATGAGTGGGAGTGGGGCTGTTGAGAAACAATAAGTGTCATCTTACAAAGTTTAGTCTGAGTTTTGCGTGGAGCCACTGATTAGTTTTCCTTCTCTCTCTCTCTCTCTCTCTCTCTCTCTCTTAGATTTATTGAGTTACTATAGATAAACAAAATGGCACATATTTAATGTATATATTTTGATGAGTTTGGATGTATACATACACCCATGATGTCATCACCACAATGTACTAAATATATCCATTGCATCTGAAAATCCCTTTGTGTTATTTTGAATGTGTATGGTTTTGTTTTGTTTTCTTTTTGTAGGACCATTTACCACGAGATCTATCCCCTTATAATTTTTTAAGTTGACAATACCAGATTATTAACTATAGGTGGATAAGACATGAAACTATATAACTTCTTGAAGAAAATATACAAGGAAAATTTCTTGACATTTGTCTTGGTAATGATTTCTTGGATTTGACACCAAAAGCACAGGCTACAAAACCAAAAATAGACAAGTGGAACCACATCAAGCTAAAAAGCTTCTGCACAACACATGAAACAATCAACAGAGTAAAAAGGCAACCTACAGAATGGAATAAAATATTTGCAAACTATCTATCTGATAAATGGTTAATATACAAAATATATAAGAATAACCTCTCGTATATAAGACATGCTTATAATAAAGAAGAAAAAACTGCAATAAAAAATTTGGAGATTAGGATTTAAAACTTTAAAAAGAGAGGAGAAAAGAGAAAAAAACAATTAGTGGTTAAGTTTGATATGAGAAAATACTTCTTTGTTTAAAATTAAAATAAGCTATTAGAAAAAATAACAAGTGTCCTCATAAATAAAAAATATGACTGCACAAAAGAAAAAATCACTGGGAAATCATCTAGGAAGAAAAGGCGGGGGGAATAGAAATGTAATACAAATGCAATAAATTGAATAATTTTTCAGAGAACATTTACTCCTTTTCCCCATTGGGTGAAGGATACTTTCATACTTCACTGATGTTGGCCTAGGGCTACCAAGCCCTACCTGTGGGTAGAAGGGGCAGTGTGCTAGTTCCAAACCAAAGTCTTAAGAGGCATATGAGTTTCTGTTTGCTTTATTGGACATCTGCCATTCAAGAAGCCACTGGTCCAAGAAAGATCAGAAATACATGGAGAAAATGTCCCTGATCAGCCAAGTCCAGCTGACCCAGCCAAGCCTTTCAGAGCTCCAGCCAAATGCAGACTGGTGAGCAAAAAAATAAATGTTTGTTATTGCAATGACACTGAGCCCTAGAGAGGCTCAGTATTATTGTAGCAATAACTAATCTAAGACAAAAATAAAAATATAAAACAAACAAAAAACAATCAATCCAGAAGTTTAAAAAACCAGCTGATACAAGTTCCAGAAAGAGAGACTCATCAATACATAATTAGATTAATAAAATGGTATATATGTATATCATGGAGTTCTACTCAGTCACAAAAAACAATGGTGATCTAGCACCTCTTGTATTATCCTGGATAGAGCTGGAGCCCATTCTACTAAGTGAAGTATCGCAAGAATGTTAAAACAAGCACTACATCTACTCACCATCAAATTGGTATTAACTGATCAACACTTAACTGCACATATAGTAGTAACATTCATCGGGTGTCAGGCAGATGGGAGGGGGTGGAGGGGATGGGTATATACACACTTTATGGGTGCGGTGCACACCATCTGGGAGATGGACAGACGCTTGAAGCTCTGACTTGAGTGGAGCAAAGGTAATGTACGTAACCTAAATATTTGTATGCTGAAATAAAAAAAATTTTAAAAAGAGATAACCAAGAAAATTAAGGGAAGAATTTAAAAAAGAAATAATATAAGAAAAATTCTTCGAATTGAGTGACATAAATTTCCATATTGAAAGAGCCCAATGAATATAAAAAGATTTAAACCAAGGCAGATCCTATGGAATTTCAGAATATCAAGGATAAAGAGAAGGATAAAAACTTCTTCTAGACAAAATAAAAATTTATGAAAAACTGTCAATCAGAATGGCATTGGATTTATTTGAGCAATGCTGAAAACAAGAATTCAATAAATAAATGCCTGTGAAATTAAAATTGAAAGGGAAAAATTATATAGCCTGAAAAGTTTTTTATTCAGATCTTTAAATTTCTCTTTATATTGTAGGTTTTATTTCTCTATATTATGTCTTTATCGTATATATGGGAGGCCATCTTTACATGTTTTAGATATTAACCCTTTATCAGATAGATGGTCTAAGCATAGTTTATCTCATCCTGTAGGTTGCCTTTTCACTCTGTTGATTGTTTCCTGTGCTGTGCAGAAGCTTTTTAGCTTACTGTAATTCCACTTGTCTATTTTTGGTTTTGTTGCCTGTGCTTTTGGCATCAAATATAAAAATTATATAGTATCAATAATTTCAAACATGTAAGGACTCAAAAATATTTACTTTCAAAGTATTTTTCTGGAAGTTATTAAATGATACAATATGCTCTAATAAGATGAGGTAGACTTAGGATTCAAGAAATCAAAACTCCAATGTATAAGAGAGGTGAAGAAAAATCTAGAATGATGGAGAAGGAAAGTTCCAGCACAATAGCTACGTTAACCAGACTAAGAGCTTTCAGTCTAAATTGGAGCAGGACATTGAAAGGTTCAAGGAAGGAATATCTCCATAGAAAATAATGAAGCTCGTAGTTTACCTCATATACTTGACAATTTTGTGAGGTATTTTATGGTCTTTTGGAGAGTTTGGAGAAGATTTCAGAATAAGAACACAGAACATAAAAAAAGTGAAATGAGACTATTACTATTACTTACTGAGAAAAAAAAACAAGATCCCTTGAAACAAGGACTGAGGTTTCCATCAACTACACCTTATAATATTTTTTACTTCACATTTGAATTATGCGTGCATGCATTAGTTTGGATTACTTCAGAAGCCAATTCAAGGTTAATGTTTTAAGTGCAAGCATAACAGTTTATTTGGGAAATAAAGGAAACTCTAGTAGAGGAAAGAAGTGACAGGGGAGAAAAGGAGCTCACAAAACAAGAGGGAGATCAAAAAGTAACTTCAAATGTCTTCCAGGCTCCATAAAGCTTGATATTATAAATAATTTCAAAACCTACTTTTTTCAATCATTATAGTTTTGAGATTTCTCTATGTCTTTGTGTGGTATTTCATTAATTTTAGCCCCTGTATATTATCCCACCATATAACCAAATCACAGTTTACTTATTTATTCCTCTTGAATGAGGAATGATTAAGTTGTTTCTACTTTTCCTCTATTACAGCCAATGATGCAATAAATATTTTTGTACATTACTTCTTTTTGTACATTACTTCTTTTGTACATTACTTCTTGTACAATTGTAACAAATTTTTAAGTGTTAACTATAGGCACAATGTTGTGCAGCAGATCCCTAGAACTTATTAGTCTTTGTAACTGAAACTTAGGCCTCTTCATTAGCAATTTCCCATTTCTCCCTGCCCCCAGACCCTAGAAACCAACATTCCACTTGCTGATTCTATGAGTTTGACTATTTTAGACACATTATAGAAGTGGAATCATGTAGTATTTGTCTTTCTGTAACTGGCCTATTTCTGTTATCATAATGTCTTTAAGATTTATCCATGTTGTTGCATATTTCCTTATTTTTAGGGCAGAATAATATTCCATTGTATAGGGATGGTTATTATATATTTTTTTAAAAAACAACAAGTGCTGGTGAAGATGTAGAGGACTTAGAACTCTTGTAAACTCTCGGTTGGAATGCAAAATGGTGCAGGCACTATAGAAAACAGCATGAAGGTTCCGCAAAAAATTAAAAATAGAACTACCATATGATCCAGCGATCCCAGTTTTGGCTATTTATCCAAAAGAATTGAAATCAGAATCTGAAAGAGATATTAGTACCCCAATTTTGATTATGGTACGATCCACAATAGCCAAGGTATGAAAACAACCTAAATGTCTTTAGACATTTAGGAAGTAACAAATAGATAAGAAAAAGTGATCTACCGTATACATATGAACTTTTAAGTTTGAGAAGTGAGTTCTGACCCAAACCACTGTGTTCCTAGACTCTCAGCAGCAGCACCACCCAGGAACTTGTTAGAAATGCAAATTATTTGCTTCACCACGTCTGTCTCTGAAACTAAACCCCTCTGGTTCGGACCTAGTAAGCTGTTTTAACAAACTCTTAACACTCAAGTTTTTTTTTTTGTTGTTTTGAGACAGAGTCTCGCTTTGATGCCCAGACTAGAGTGAGTGCCGTGGCGTCAGCCTAGCTCACAGCAACCTCAAACTCCTGGGCTCAAGTGACCCTTCTGTCTCAGCCTCCCAAGTAGCTGGGACTACAGGCATGTGCCACCATGCCCGGCTAATTTTTTCTATATATATTAGTTGGCCAATTAGTTTCTTTCTATTTATAGTAGAGACAGGGTCTCGCTCTTGCTCAGGCTGGTTTCGAACTCCCGACCTCGAGCAATCCGCCCGCCTCGGCCTCCCAGAGAGCTAGGATTACAGGCGTGAGCCACAGCACCCAGCCAACACTCAAGTTTGATAAATACTAATTTAAACCATTATCCTGCTTTTAGTCTGAGAACCATTTATCCAACCATTTATTCTGCCTTTAGCAGTGAGCTTTCTAATTTCAAATTATTTACAGCATATGATTTTTAGCACCAAAATTCTGAAGTTAGTGGAAATCCAGGAGGTCTAGAAAAGAAGGGACAGGTAAAAATCTATGGTATTATGTACCTGCAGAACGAAGTGCAGCACTTATGGCAAGAAGTGGAGAATTTCCTCTTTACCCAAGCTGGAGAGAGTTTGGAAGGGCTCTGTAATTGGGTGAACATAAAAGCCACCGGCTGGTTGGCCATATTTCCTTAGAGATCCATGATTTTTCAATAGCTATTCTAGGAAAGGTTTTACTCCCACCTTGACTTCTAAATTTTAAAACGCCTCCACCTCTGAAAAACACTTTTTAATGATTGTCAATTAGAGTGAGGGTGGCAGGGCAAGCCACTGCTTTAGTTTATTTAAGGAAGCTGCCAGAGGATTACAGCTCCAGGTGTTTCTAAATATTAAAGTGATAGGGTGCATCCCTCAATTTTATAAATATAGAAAGCAAGACAAGCTTTCCTATGTTTCTTCTTTAAAATAAAATCCCACAATACCACTACTTTTCAATAAGTTTCCTAGGATTTATCCTAGAGCCTTTATTTACATCTATTCTAAACACTACCAGCTGAAGGTTTTAAAAGGCTTTCTTTTTAGGGAAGTAAAATAAGATGACTTTAGAGACCCTGTATCTTCTTTCTTTAACTTACTCCTTGAAGCTCTGACTCGAGGAGGAAGGGAGGCAAGGGCAATATATATAACCTTAACAACATTTGTACCCCCATAATATGCTGAAATTAAATAAATAAATAAATAGATATTAAGGCAAGCCAGGTATGGTGGCTCACACCTGTAATCCTAGCACTCTGAGAAGCCAAGATGAGATGATCTCTTGAGGTCAGGAGTTCCAGATCAGCCTGAGCAAGATTGAAACCCATCTGTACCAAAAATAGAAAAAATTAGCAGAGTGTGGTGGCACACACCTGTAGTCCCAGCTACTTGGGAGACCAAGGCAGGAGGATCCCTTGAGCCTAGGAGTTTGAGGTTGCCGTGAGCTGTGATGATGCCACTGCACTCTACCCTGGGTGATTCACCAAGACTCTGTCTCAAAAAAAAAAAAAAAAAAAGGAAAGAAAAAAAAATACTAAAGCATTATCAGTTTTTAAAGTATATATTTTCAAATAATATAACTATATTTATTTTTGTTTTATATATTTAAGGTATGCAACATGTTTTCATATACACAGGGAAATAGCTTCTATAGTTAACCAAATTGACATATCCTCACATACTCATTTTTCTAATGGTAAGAGCACCTAAAATTTACTTTTAGACAATTTCTAGTATACTATGCAATATTATTAACTATAACCCTCATGTTGTACATTAGATCTCTAGACTTACTCATTCTACATAACTGCAACTTCACACCCTTTGACCTACATGTCCCCATCTCTTCCGTGTCCCAGCCCTGGTAACTACTACTGTTTCTAAGTATTCGAACTCCACATATAAGTAAGATCTTGCAGTATTTGTCTTTCTGTATCTGGGCTTATTTCACTTAGCACACTGTCATCCAGGTTCATCCAGGTTACAAATGGCAAGATCTCCTATTTTAAGGCTGAATAATATACGTGTGTGTGTGTCACAATTTCTTTAGCCATTCCTCTACAGACACTTTGGTGTTTCATCTTAGCTATTGTGAATAATCCTGCAAGTAACTTGAGAGTGCAGATATTTTTATGAAGTTTTGATTTCATTCCCTTTGAGTATAGACCCAGAAGATGGATAGTTGGGTCATATGTGGACACTGGCTTTAGCAACGATTTTTTTTACCATACCAAAAGCCCAGGCAATGAACAAAAACAGACAGATGGAATTTCATCAAACTATAAAAAGCGCCTGAACAGCAAAGAAAACAATGAACAAAATGAAAAAGCAACCTACAGATTGGGAGAAAATATTTGTGAAACAAAAATCAGATAAGGAGTTAATATCCAAAAACATATATCAAGCTCACACATTTCAAAAGCAAAACAAAACAAAACTACCCGATTAAGAAATGGGCAAAGGATCTGAATGGACATTTTTCCAGAAAGGACATACGAATGGCCTAGAAGTATAAGAAAAGGTGCTCAATATCACTAATCATTAGAGAAATGTAAATCAAAACCACGAGAAAATACCTGTTAGGATGGCTATTATCAAAAAGACAAGCGATGACAAATGTTGGTGAGAGTGGCAGGAGGGAACCCTTGCACACTGTCCATGGGAATGTAAATTGGAACTCTGGAAAGCAGTATGGAGGCTCCTCAAAAAGTTAAGAATAGAACTAGTGTTATCAGTGCTTGACAAATAAAGAAATGAAGACCAGAGCTCCAAAAACTGAATCTATGTATCCAGGCTGGTCACTACCAGCAACTGATGGTACCCAGTGAAGGACAGACAGACCCCGATATGGAGATTAATGCACTAGGATTTGGCGCTGCAAAAAAACATTTGATTGAGACAAATACCCTTAGTTAATTCAGAGTCATTCTGCCTCTCCCTTTCACGTCTCAAGTGGGCTGCCGGACACGAAGGGCGAGGCCTCCAGTTGCCAAACTCCCTCCGGGCCGAGTGGGGAAGGAGGCTGAACCCCAGGCCAGCAGTTTACAGGCCAGGGCGGGCACCCCCAATCCCGGGCCCCGCCGGCTCAGGGCCCTCAGGCCTCTTCAGGCCGCCGGGATCCTCTGGGGCCGCCAGGGGGCGGCCGGGCCTCCCTCGGCGCCGCGCCGGCCGGCAGGGGACGCCCGGCAGAGGAAGTGCCGGCGGCCGGGCCGGGCCTGGCGGATCCAGACGGCTCCCGGAGCGGCCTCGCGCGGGTTCCCCACAGCCGACCGGGCCCTGCCTCCGGCTCCGCCCCGCCCGGGGCGTGAGCGCCTGCGGGTTCCGGGTCCTGTGACCGGTCAGACGGCGTCGGCGGGCGCTGAGGAGGACGCGCGGGCCCCGGGGGAGTTTCTGTAGCCGCTGGGGGCGCGGCGCGGCGCGGAGCGCGCGGCGGGTCGGGGCCCGAGCGCGTGCCGGAGCCGCGGCGCCCATGGCCGGCGGGGGAGCCGGGGACCCCGACCGGGGGGCGGCCGCCGTCGCCGCCCCCGAGACCCGCGAGCACCTCTTCAAGGTGCTGGTCATCGGCGAGCTCGGCGTGGGCAAGACCAGCATCATCAAGCGCTATGTCCACCAGCTCTTCTCGCAGCACTACCGGGCCACCATCGGGGTGGACTTCGCCCTCAAGGTCCTCAACTGGGACAGCAGGACGCTGGTGCGCCTGCAGCTGTGGGACATCGCGGGTAAGCGCGGCACCAACCTTCCCACCTTCAGAGCCTGGGCCGCTGGCTCCTCTCTGCCTCCTTCCTTCTTTCCCTCCTCTGCCTGAACCGCCGCCTGTGTACGTTTAGGAGGGAGAGGCCGAATCAGATGGCGAGGCGCGGATGGATGCTCGCTCTCTCCTGACAGGAGGTGAGGAAGCTGCGGGGCCTTCCCAGGAGCTTGAACTCTGAATAAGGACGAGTTTATAATATAACGGGAAGACTTGGGGCGGCTGCTCTCCTTAGCCTTAACTGAAGTTCAGAGTGACTGGACGACTTCCCCCAAGTTGCACTCCTGGTTCAGTGACACAACCAAGACCCGCAGCCAGGTTCCTTTTCAGGTCATTTTTCATCACTGGGATTGGCTCTCAGACCCGCCTTTGCGAGGGAAACTCCATTCCACAAATACTTGCTCTCTTGTGAAGCCAGGTCACCAGGTGAAGACTTGGGAAAACTTTTCTGAAACTCTTTCCTCGCTCCCTCCCTAAGCCAACACCTAACCCTATCCTTGGCCCCCTCTCCTCCTCGCCCCAAATACATTGTTTCTCTGGCATCTGCTACTTTCATTTGTCATTTTGGAACGGAAGAGTTGATCTCTTTGAGGGGGTACACTTCTTGGTCTAATTTATGAGCAATTTGAACTCTGGTTGGTGTGGTGGGTGGGATGTGGGCACTTAAAACTAACTTTTGAAAAGGTTATTTATGGAAATGGCACCAAAAGTTACCATCTTCAATCATTGAACGTGTTAAGAAACTGAGTCTGCAGTAGAGCATTCCAGTGGGATCTGGTTTAGGGTTGGAGGGAACCTTGGGTCACCCTTCATCCTACAGACCCTACACTGAACCCCATGTATACCCAGCTGGTAGCAGAGTGTGTGAGGGTGAGGCCCACATCTACTATCTGCTAAGTAGTGCTCTTTTCATCTGTATCTTGTTACATGAGAGAGTACTGAAGAATTGTAATCTATAACACATTCATTTAAGAGCAGATTTCTCTTCCTCAGATATGAGAATAAATTTATGCACATCAATGCTTCAAAGAAAGAGGGTAATCAGCCTTGGGCTCAAATTTTTTTTTGGTTACCAGAAACCAAAATTTCGTTTGAAAAGTCATCTTTCGAAGCCAGAGGCTTTTTTTTTCGAAACACTTCCTGCTATTGCACAGAACACTAAGGAACAGTATTACTGCTTCTTGACAAAGTCATGGATCTACAGTTTGCTTTACCATGTGACAGTCAACTTTCAGGAATCTTCAGTGTAGCTGAGGATTTCCACAAAGGCGATTTTAAAGCCCTGCTTACAAGGGTGGTTGACTTTGCCTTATTCTTTATGTAAACTATTATAGTATTTAGCTATAAAACTACCATTGTGTCTCACTACAGGTAGATAACTGTGAATAACTAGATTTTTATGGAACAGTTGTGTCTTTAAGCTTCGAAGTAAAATGCTTATGTTTAGAGACTTAACAAAACAAAAGCAGGAGTAAGTTTTCTTCCTGGATATCACCCCTTCCTTTTTCATCCTTCTCTAACAGGCCTCAATAGGCAGGAAGAGGACATATCCAGTCTTTATTAGAATCTGGTATACATCTGCCTTGCTGGGATATCCTTGCACTTTTGACTAAATCCAAAACTTGAGCTTCCCCGGAAAGGAAAGCAGCATTTTAAGGTCTCTAAAAGGGATTTCTGGATGTCAGATACTGGAGCAGGTACTATTGTGCCATTCAGCAAGTACATGCCAGCAATTAAAGTAAGAGGTAAACTTATGAAGTAATTAGAAATTCTTAGGCTCACCTTATAAGTAAGATTTTCAGAGATGGAATCTTAATATAAAGAAATTGAGAGATAAAAATAGCTTAGTTTTATCCTAAGGTATGGGGAGCTACATCATTATGTTTGGTTTGAACATTTGAGCTACTAATGAATCCTAGTTCATACCATTTGAATTAAGTAGTAATGACATAGTGAAGGCTGCTCCAAAAATTTCCCCCGTGGCTAAACATATTTGCCTTATGTAGTAACAAAGTTGGATTATATTTAATTCTCAAAGAGTAGAAATATTCCTTGATTGCAAAACAGTAGGTGGAGCTGGCCACTTGCTATGACTAACTTAAGGTGTGGTGATATTGTTACTAGTTAGATTTTATTTCATTTCTTTCTGCTTTAGTGGTAGGCAAGGTAGTGAAGGAATTATGTCAACAATCTTTATCTAGAGGGTTTTGTCAAGTGTGATAGGCTAGAAATGTTGAATTTTTTATATAAATGTAGCCAAGCAGATTTAACTAAACTCTTCAAGTTAAGAATTATGTAATTCTCAGGTATAGGCCTTAATGAATTTTTTCTTATGTCATTGAAGGAATCTTGCTTTAAAATACAGATGGAGTTTAATGCAACTTTTGTTTAAGACAATTGCAGTCTCTTAATTCATGCCTGCTTTGAGACTGCTGCTCAAAACATAACTGAAACAGACTAAAATATTGAAGTCTTTGATACAATTTTGAAGAGATCTTAATGCACAGTAAATTAAGATATAGCAAGAGATGTCTCCAATCTTCCTTTTAATGCTTAGTATAGATAAAGTAGTATTTGGCATACTGTTTGTGGTAAGCTTATTGCTTATTAGCAACTGTAGAATTTTCCAGGCAACATGAATGACTGGTCGAGATTAAATCTTTTAAAAAAAAATTGTCCATTTAATTCTAATATACTTTGGTCTTCATGTACTGACTGAAGTTATTTGCCTTTTAGGATTAAAATTTCTTTGTAAAAATTTGAATGAGTAACAAGTCCTTTGGGCTAAAAGACACACTGAAACAGTCTACTCTGAAATTCATGTAAATAATATTTAGCTAAGCCTAAAATACATGCTTGGAAAATATTATAAATTATATAACCTATACCTAAATTCATTTTTCATTGTTTCGATTCCCATCCTAAAGTAGAATGTGGATCCTGACTTCCTTGTTCCATCTTGTATTTTGCCCATCATTAAACAAATAATCTCCTCTTGCCTTTTTTCCATAACTCTCTTATAACCCTTTAGGAGCAAGAATCTGGAATATTACCTCTGACACTTTCCTGACCTTAAAAGTATCTTAGTCAGGGATTAATAATATTTAAGAATCTCCTAAATGTGAAGAAGCAGTGCTTTGAAGAATCAGTCAGTCTGCGTAGTTATTTGTAGTCTCTTTCTTAAACACAGAATACTACAGTAAGTTTCCTGGTGCTTATTGGTGGCTAATCACATAGAAGGCGTTTCTATTACATATGGGTAATCTGACTTTTGTGTGGGCTTGCCATCCTCAGCCTTATTCAAGCTCAATTGCTGTGCTGAATCAGAAGCAAAGCCTATTGTCCCATTTTATATCTTTAAATGTTTTGCAGTTCCTGGGTCCTGAGTCTTCCTTGGGTGCATAGTCTAGGCTGTGCATTCACAATTGCTCAGGCAGGGTTTTGGTCAGTGTAACAATGTATTTGTATCCTGCATATAGGAATTCCTCTGATAATGATATGCCTGGCACCTTTCCCTTTTGATATGTTACCATACTTAGTTGCCTTAATTAGCTCATATAAGCTGAAAGTCGCTCAGGTTAGTGGTAGAGATAGTCCAGCACTGATACAAGTTCTAAAACTTGCCTTTGCTCCCAGCTATTTGCTTAACGATTCTACCTTTTGGATTGAATGAATTACAGGCTTTTAGAGATCCTACAGTTTAAATGCAGAGACAGGTGTAGTAACTTGACCAAGAAAACACACATAGCCAATGGCACCATATGGAGACAGCTTTCATGATTCTGAGATAGGAAAACAGTAAGCTTTTAATATAGCTAGTTTTTGACTTACTGGTTTCAAAAGAGTAGCACAAATTATTTTCTAAATTTTCAAATGTTCTGGTTATCTCTAAATTAGTCATGTATTAATATATGTTATCCTGACCTTTCAATTTTCTTAAGCTTTCAATATGGAATTTTCAGTGATTCTCACACTGTTTGAAAATGTACCCAGGATTGTGTTTTTATTCAGGTTATGATGAGGCCAACAGGTCAGGAGATGATTGCCATTGACAGAATTTTGTAACTCACAGTTCCCACAAGTGGGGCACACCACACCCCACCATGCCACAGGGAAAAGCATCAGAGTTGGTCATGAGACAGGATCAAGAGGAATTCATGGACTAGAGCCTTTATTGTGGTTTTTACAGGAAGGAATGGGTGAAGTAGGGTAGGCAAGCTAAGCAAATTTAGGATAGGCTAGTTTGAATAATTTCAGTGGGCTCTGGGCTGTAGGGGTGGTCTCTAATCATCTGGTACCTGGCCCTGGGGTGATTTGGGGCAGGAGGATAGTATCCCAGACTGCAAGAGCCTAATGCCAGGAGGCAGATGGGAAGATATGGACTCAGGATTGGTTGGTTTGCATATCAAAGGTGCACTCTAAGGCAGGATTTACTTTCTCTAGAAATTAGGTAATCTTGGGA